AATCACCATATCGAATTTAGTTTTGAGTAGTATGAAATTTCAGCTAAAAAATAAAGATGACGTCTGAAAGTTGCGTTTGGTGGCCAGTTTGTGTGTAAATGTACAGTGGTGTGAAAAAGTGTTGGCCTCCCTCTTGTTTTTTTAATTTTTTGCATATTTGTCACACTTAAAAGATTCAGATCATCAAACAAATTTTAATATTACACAAAGATAATGCAAGTAAATACAAAATGCAGTTTTTAAATGATTATTTATTTTATTAAGGGAAAAAAGCTGTCCAAACCTGCCTGGCCCTATGTGAAAAAGTAATTGCCCCCTAAATCTAATAACTGGTTGTGCCACGCTTTGCAGCAACAACTGCAATCAAGTGTTTGCGATAACTGGCAATGAGTCTTTCACATCGCTGTGGAGGAATTTTGGCCCACTCTTCTTTGCAGAATTGTTTTAATTCAGCCACATTGGACGGTTTGAGAGCATGAATGGACTGTTTAAGCATCTCAATCGGATTTAAGTCCGGACTTTGATTTGGCCACTCCAAAACCTTAATTTAGTTTTTCTTGAGCCATTCAGAGGTGGACTTGCTGGTGTGTTTGGGATCATTGTCCTGCTACATAACCCAAGTGTGTTTGAGCTTGAGGTCAGAAACTGATGGCCCAACATTCTCCTTCAGGATTTTCTGATAGAGTGCAGAATTCATGGTTCCGTCAATTATGGCAAGTTGTCAAGGTCCTGAAGCTGCAAAGCAGCCCGGGGCCAACACTTTTTCACACCACTGTATATTTCTGACTAATTGTTTTTGCACTTTTGATTTCTAACGAGAAATCAGTACTATAGTAATTAAATATTCGTTTAGTTATCACCAAAACTCATTCTATTTTGTTGTAGATCATTAAACCGTTACGCTGCCTCAGAAGCCTGTCCGAAATCAGTTTCATGAGGTGCCTTCGTGCAAAAACGCTGCCTGCAAAGTCATTGCCTCAAAGGCCAGCAAGGCAGCAAGTCAGCTGCCTAAGTTTTGGGATGCAGCCATTGCCTGTCATCCATCGCTAACTGACCTAATTTACTTCAGGTGCCACGGTTCAGCGTTTAATCCATCTGCCCCGTGAGCGGATGTCCAGGAGTAAGACAGTCTCAAATTCTATTGGCTGGATGAACAAATAATGGTTGTGGCCCAGCCCTCTCTCTGACCTTTAGCGAGATGCTAATTGGCAATCAGAGATTAAACATTCAAACCATTCAGAGTATTCCCATAAATAACAGCTTCAGGAAACTTATTGCGTTGATAATTCCAGCTGACTTCAGCTCACGAGTTACAGCGATGGCAGTTACAGCGATAAGAGCTTCAGAAAGCTGTCAAATATTCCTCCCTGATCCCTTCTGACAGACTGAAGACAACAAGACACTCCGGCTGACATGATCAGAACATCTTTATATGATATCTCAAGTGGAATAAGCAGCTAAAGTTGTGTTCTAATTAGCATTTATAATATGCACTTCACAAAGAAAGAATCTGAACTATTTGTAGTTCAATAATCAAATGCGACACTGACCATGTGAATGTCTTTGTACCAACTTGTGGAGTCCATTCTTCTGTCATTAAAGCAAAAGAGGGACAAACCAAGTATAAAGGAATTCATGTTCATTTTTTAGGTCTTTTTTAATACATATAAAATAATTTGCAATTAAAAAAAATAGAAGCATTTTCACTTTTCTGACAGTTTTTGTGCTCCACTAGGCTACTTTTGAGTAAGCTTGGTGGACGAGTTTTGGGACTTTGCCTTTACTTACAAGCAAAATCCTAATAGCATAACAATCGCTAACAGTAAGTTCTAATGATTTATTTTGGGGGAAAAAAGAGCAATTTTTTAATTCTTTCTCTAATTTTGACTTCCCAACGAAGACATGATAACGAAGACATGATAAAATGATGACAAAATAAAAAGTAAATTATCCACATTAGGTGTGTAAATGGTGTGTTATTTTCATTTTATCTTCCTTGTGCTTGATGGGAAATGCAGTTTTACATATTTCTATCCTTATTGCTTTATGCCTTTTCATGCTATTTTCAGCATACTATGATTTGGTATGCACTACATCCAATCTTACATGTTAAATAAATAGAATGTGAATTGGGATAGGGTGCAAAATTAACACCCTCCAAGCTCCAAATATGAATAAAATAAAGTAATCAGAAACTAGCCTACTGTATGAATTTTAGTCTGACCCTGATATAAATGATGTTATGTCATGGTCTTGGGTACAAAAAAATCTAAATATAATGTTTTGGCCAGTAAGAACCCTAAATGCATTGTAATGAATTTATTCGACAGCCCCATCAGTCGTGTCGCCCATTTTTAGGCAACTAAACTGAAACATGTACACTGTAAAAAATGACCGTGAATTTAACGGTAAAAAACTGTAAAAATGCTACAGTAAAAAACTGTTAAATAAAACACGTGTGCTATTTATGGAGGCTATATCTTTAACACCAAGCATTTCTGCAGACTCTGTTGATCTTCTCCTTGATTCCTTTAACTCAAAAGTTAAGAATGTTATTGATGACATTGCTCCTTTGAAAGTCAGCAGGAAGACTGGCAGACAGAAATCAGCTTGGAGAAAATCAACAGCAGTTCAGAGTATGAAAAGACAATGCAGAAAAGCTGTTTTTACGGTAATATACCATTTTTGGAAGTGAAAAAGAGCGTATAATTTACAGTGAATAACCAGAAATTGACATTCCCAGAATTCCCTGCGTTACATTTCAAATGTTATGTTTTTTTGTTGAAATAACTGTTTCTTAGTTTTTTCTTATCAGTTTTGTATATTAGGGTTGTGCGTTACACCTAATGTTGTTAAATTAATGTTTATTGCATTATTTCAGTTTCATATGTGTTACCATGATGGTGTTTAGTGTTTGTGTGAATGACACTGTACACCTTCTATACTGGTCGCTGAGGTCGCTATGTTAGTATCTAAAAGCTGCTTGTGATGGGCTTTGGTTCATCATGTGACTTTCTCATCACCGCCTGCATTTGGTGGTTATCAGTGTATTACAAAGGTACAAAACATTTCAGTACTTCAATAGGTTGGTATATTAACATTATATCAATTAATGAAATTACGGTATTTAACTGTAAATTTAAGATAAAACAGTAAAACCTAAAACGTTGCTACCGTATTTTTTACGGTAAAATTCCAGCAACCACAGCTGCCGTTTTTGTACCGTAAATTTTACGGAATTTTTTTTACAGTGTATGCATGATGCAAGTATGAAGCAAAGACAAGAAAACCTGCAATATTTCTCTGTTTTAACAACAGACCACTGATTTCCAGCTGAATTTTTTTTCTTCCAATTTTCTCTATGACCTTGCTGGTAAAATCCTGTTTTATTCTGGACTCTGTAGTGTCGTTCTGTGTTCACACCACCTGTGGCAGCTCATCTCAGCCCGTCTCCAGGGTTATGAGCGAATCCACTGCAATCAAAGTCATTAACTGCAGCCTGCTTTCATCAAGCTAAACACTGGTAATAAAGCACAACCTGTGATAAAAATGCAGCGCTCATTTGAGGAGAGCTAGGCCTGTTTCACACACATGTGAGCGCCTGCATGACAGAGCAGCAACTCAATGCAGAAAACATTTCTGGGTTACCATGTTGAGTTTTTTCTTTAAAAATTAAAAAAAATTAGTAAACTGTTATTGATGCAAGTATGAAGCAAAGACAAGAAAAACTGCAATATTTCTCTGTTTTAACAACAGACCACTGATTTCCAGCTGAATTTTTTTTCTTCCAATTTTCTCTATGACCTTGCTGGTAAAATCCTGTTTTATTCTAGACTCTGTAGTGTCGTTCTGTGTTCACACCACCTGTGGCAGCTCATCTCAGCCCGTCTCCAGTACCGTAAATTTTACGGAATTTTTTTTACAGTGTATGCATGATGCAAGTATGAAGCAAAGACAAGAAAAACTGCAATATTTCTCTGTTTTAACAACAGACCACTGATTTCCAGCTGAATTTTTTTTCTTCCAATTTTCTCTATGACCTTGCTGGTAAAATCCTGTTTTATTCTGGACTCTGTAGTGTCGTTCTGTGTTCACACCACCTGTGGCAGCTCATCTCAGCCCGTCTCCAGGGTTATGAGCGAATCCACTGCAATCAAAGTCATTAACTGCAGCCTGCTTTCATCAAGCTAAACACTGGTAATAAAGCACAACCTGTGATAAAAATGCAGCGCTCATTTGAGGAGAGCTAGGCCTGTTTCACACACATGTGAGCGCCTGCATGACAGAGCAGCAACTCAATGCAGAAAACATTTCTGGGTTACCATGTTGAGTTTTTTCTTTAAAAATTAAAAAAATTTCTCTATGGCCTTGCTGGTAAAATCCTGTTTTATTCTAGTCTCTGTAGTGTCGTTCTGTGTTCACACCACCTGTGGCAGCTCATCTCAGCCCGTCTCCAGGGTTATGAGCGAATCCACTGCAATCAAAGTCATTAACTGCAGCCTGCTTTCATCAAGCTAAACACTGGTAATAAAGCACAACCTGTGATAAAAATGCAGCGCTCATTTGAGGAGAGCTAGGCCTGTTTCACACACATGTGAGCGCCTGCATGACAGAGCAGCAACTCAATGCAGAAAACATTTCTGGGTTACCATGTTGAGTTTTTTCTTTAAAAATTAAAAAAAATTAGTAAACTGTTATCAGGAGTCTGCAACTGAGAACCATGACATCAAATTTGCATGAGGTCTATCACATTTACATCCCATTTTACTTCTGTAATATGACTTGTTTCCGTGAAACAGGGTGTTAACGGGGAACTTTTTATCTGTTGGGAATTGACTGGATTGTGTAAAATGGGTGTTGGCTAGAGGCGAGGAGTTTAATAATAAGGACTGATGTCAACCAGAAAGAACATTATGAATGTAATAACATGCACAAAGTAAACACTCATAAGACAACGTGTATTAAGAAAGTCGTGAATAACAAACACTCATGAAACTGTGTGAAGAATGTGTCTAAGTTGGAGTTTATTCAGTGCATGGTGCTATATTGTACATTTTTTTCAGTGATGGCAAAAGAAAGAGGGGTGCGATGAGAAGAAAAAGAACCTCTGAGGAAAAACGTACGACTCTTTTCTTTTCCTCACCCCAGACTAGCATAGGAAAGGAGTGCCACAATGAAGAAAACAACACACTGAACGAACTACAACACCTCGGTCGCTGTACAGGATACTATTTGAACTATTATAAAAGCTTAACATTGTAAAAGACATTTAAAAACAGGACGTGCTGGACTCGTCAGTTTGACGTGGGGCAGTACGCTTTACGCAATCGGCAGTGTTGATGCACAATATAAAATCCTCAATTTCCCACTTTGATTTTCTAGAATTGAATTACCGCACCTGAATTGTCAGTCTTGACCTTTAAAGTCATTTGAATGTCTCAATGAATGACTGAGACTCATTTTAATTTGCTGTAGAATCTGTCTGATTGCTTTCACAATTAATTACTATAATTGCTAATTAGCTCCGTTCATGGCTAATTGATTCCAATTCATCTAAAACCACTTCAGGTTGTGTGTGGATGCTCGTTTTGAAGGCTTTGCAGATCTGGTATAGACCTCATGGGTAAGAACATACTGCCCCCTCTAGTAGAAAAGTAGAAATATACTGAAAATGAGCAGAGTTATCCCTGCAAATCCCATTTAAAAACTGGCGGGAGCTGGTGTTTGGGATTCTGGATCTAATACAAAACATCAAAGCTGAATTTAAGAGAGCAGGGCATCTAAAATGCAAAGTACACACAAACGAGAAACAAAACTGATGAAAATAAATAGAAATATCATAGAGTGTAGTTTCACCCCATCTTCATTGGACCCCCAATCCACGATGACACAGGACAACATTACCAACAAAACAAAAGAAAAATGATTCAAGCCTTCAACAAATATGCCAAGTAATGTAACTTTAAAACACGAGAGAACATCTGAAATTGCTCCAGCATTCTGAATGAAAATAACACATTATTTTACATCACATGAGAACAAAATAATACTTTCACATTTAAGAGGAACATAAAATATGGGACTTTACAACATGATGTATTCTGGATTGGGAACAGTTCACCCAAAAATGAAAATCCTGTAATTTATTCTCCATGTACTTTCCAAACTTTTCTTTCTTCTGAGGAATTCAGATGTTTAGCACAATGTTCATGGCTGCTCTTTTCCATACAATGAAAGCGAAAGGGGCCCGGGACTGTTTAGTTCCAAAAAATGAACACCATAAAAGTGTGAAAAAGCAGTCATGTGCCTCATGCACCATAAACCTAAGTCCTATATAGTCATATGATAGTTTTGTGTAAGGAACAATTGAAATGTAATCACTGAAATTTTCCCCTCCTCAGCAATACTTAAATGTTATTTGCATGTTCAAACATTGCAACTTTACAACTTTAAACCTGTCAAATTTGAATGCAAGTGGCCAGAAAAGAAATTAGAGAATGACAACTACTTAAAGGGATAGTTCACCAAAAGATAAAAATAAAATAAAATCCTCAATTTCTCACCACCATGTCATTCCAAACCTGTATGATGCATGGAACACAAAAGAAGATATTTTGAAGAATGTCGGTAATCAAACAGTTTCAGTGACTACTGATTATCAAAAAATGTCTTCTCAAAATATCTATCAAAAAGTAAGTCATACTGGTTTGGAACGACATTGAGTAAACGATGACAGATTTTTCAATTTTGGGTGAACTTTCCCTAAATATAAGTCTTCAAATTTCTTGAAAAAGAATGGAAAAGAGCAGCGTGAATATTCTGCTAAACTTAGAATTTTTTGTTCCATTGAGAAAAGAAAATGCTAAGATATAGCTTTGCATCACTAAATGAGGAATTTGAATTTTGGGTGAACGTCCCCTTTAAGTGTTTCAGATTGTGATTCTTCAGATTGTGACAGATAATCAACCAATTGCAACAACAACAAAAAATATTAAATTAAGCTTTAAAAAAATTAAACAACAACAACATATTGACACTTTAGAAAATTCCCACCGCCCAGTTGTTATTATGTGAACCATCCTTTTGGAATCCACCCAAAAAATACCGTATGAATTTGAGATAAAAAGTTTTGAGAAAACATGGTTCAGTCCGTCATGGAATGTCTTTGATGTGGTGGAGGTCAGGCAGGATTTTTGGAAAAAGTCTGTCTGAGGTGTTGAGAAGTGGATGAGAACTGGTCTTTGAATTCTGCTTCTGGAGTAGATGCTGGATGCTCAGTTTGCAGTACGAGACGCTTGAAATCTGACAGATGTTTAGGGTCTGGAAAGTGGTGTCTCAGATGGCAATGGCTGGGTGGGACATGCGCTGCTACAGGAAGAGTTTGTCCGTGAGGGTTGATGGGTTGATGGTAGGAGGCTGGATGTGAGGGATCTTGCGTTGTTTTTTAACATTCATAAACCCGACTGGTCCCGTTTTTTCACCCTGCGTTGATGTGAGATCAAAGCTAGATCAGCAACCATCTGAGACAAACAAAACAGGACAGCATTTCTGGTAAGGCAAAAAGTAAACATCCCAAACGGGTGACGGAGTCAGTGACGAAAACCGGGATGGCCTGTGGCATGCAGACCTGAGCGACATGGAAATAATGGTGGATAATAATAATACTCTCTGGCTGAGTGAAAGAAAGTGAAGTAAACATTGACGGGGCGAATGGGGTGAACTGGGTCTCTGCACGCACAAAACAGGGCACTGTGGGAACAAACTAACAGGGCAGCATTACCCATTATCCTCTGGGAGCTCTGTGTCTGTATACATACCACCCTGACAGCTGGTTAAACAGCATCAGACGCCCAATGCCTCACACAAACAGTCTAAAAGGCCCACATTTAGAGTCTTAATGCTGAGACGCTTCACTTTCTGGACTTGTTTTTCATTTTTTATTACACATTTCTCTAAGCCAAGTTCTATACAGTCTAAACAATTAACATAACAGATCAAAAGCAGTCCAAAAATCCAAACATTCTGTTGATTATGTATGTATGTATGTATTTATTTAAATGTTTGACTCAGTTTTGAAATTTATTCGGGTCAATTAAATGATTCTGGAAATGAAGTGTTGGTCTTTATCAGTGTTGTTTTTGTTAACTAAAAGTAAAAACCATTTTGTTAATAAGAAAAAGCTGAAATAAACTAAAATATTCATATTAGATAAAAAATTTAAACAAAAAAAAAAGCTTATGAAAATAAGCAATAAAAATAAGTTAAAGTACTAAAATTACTGAAAAGAAATATAAAACTGAAATAAATATACATTAAAATAAACATAAAAAATAACATAAAATAAACATTAAAAAAAGCAGATAAAAAAAATAATTAAATACAATTAAATAAAATGTTTTAATGAAAACTGAAAATATTAAATAAAAGCTAATTAAATTTTTTTGTAAATACTATATATATATATATATATATATATATATATATATATAAAACTAAAATAACACTTTTCTTCATCATGGGTCAAAAAATAAATAGTAATTTATTAAAGATAGTAACATAAATTGAATACAAATTTCTATAGGTGGCATTAACAACACAGAATATTAATATCATCTAATGTCATCTAATTAATATGAGGTATCATCTAATATCTAATCAATTCTAATATTAAAGGGGTCATATGATGCTGCTAAAAAGAACAGTATTTTGTGTATTTGGTGTAATGAAATGTGTTTATGCGGTTTAAAGTTCAAAAACACATTATTTTCCACATACTGTACATTATTGTGTCTCCTCTATGCCCCGCCTTTCTGAAACACGTCGATTTTTACAAAGCTCATCGGTCTGAAAAGCGAGGTGTGCTCTGATTTGCCAGCTATCCAGTGCGTTATGCCCCTCACCATACTGTGATGCCATCAGGCCGGAGCGACGAGACAGAAACATGAAAACCCATTATAAACGAGGCATTCGTTGCATCCAGTGGGGACATAATTACTGATTATAATGACTTATACTGTCTTTTACACATTGCGTTGCATCGCATAGCATCGCACCGCATAAACATAAAACTCTGTCTGCATTTGTGATCGGAGAAATGACAAACAACAAGCGCTACTCTACA